GGAGAGAGAGAGAGAGAGAGAGAGAGAGAGAGAGAGAGAGAGAGAGAGAGACAGACAGACAGACAGACAGACAGACAGACAGACAGACAGACAGACAGACAGACAGACAGACAGACAGACAGACAGACAGACAGACAGACAGACAGACAGACAGACAGACAGACAGACAGACAGACAGACAGACAGACAGACAGACAGATAGAGAGAGAGAGAGATAAAAAGGTGGGACACGAAGCAGGCCAACACCACTGCCCAGTAATCTGCCAAGCGGATGTCTGACACGGGTGTGCGTAGGTCGAGGTACTAGCAAAAGTTGATTTGCGAAACTACTTCACGTCCAGACGTCCTAAAATCTAAAAGTCCAACACTTGCCACATAGTTCGTTGTTGTTGTCCTGATCACAATGGCCGTCCCCCAACACGTCAGTGTCGCAATCCAGCACCACTTTGACGGTGACGTCGTCGTCGTCAACACAAGAGGCGTCCGGATCGATGCAAGCAAACCCGGCATCGCTGTGGGAGCAAGCGTCGTCGTCGTCGCCCAGCCTCTGGTTTACGACGGGAACGGCAAAGAATGAGCGGCATATTTACTCGGAGTCTTTGTGGGCTTGAAAAGAAACAGAGGGTGGGCGTGAGAGAAGAAGGGAATTGGAACCACGGCAGTCGCCTAGGACACCTTCCGCGTGCACGCGTACCAACAAAGGGAACAGACGGCTAGGAAAGATGGTAAGAGGGGAGGGGGTTATTTCGGCCTGGGTGACAGGCGGGAAGACGCACATCGAGAAAAAATGTCTACATAACCCCGTTGTAGTCCTTATATTATTATGGGTCGTTCGAGCGCTTTTTGTTTTTATTGGATGAATACACCGGTGGGCATGGGCACGAAGAGAAAGAGTATGGTCGGAGGTTAGATTCAGACCGGCGGTGCAGGTATGTAGGAAGGGCGATGGGAGCGAAATATACCGAAGATGGAGAAGCAAACTTCCTTAGTTAGGAGAACCCATCCACGATCCACAAACTTCTCACCACGCATGTGCACCCGCAGCAGTCACCGCCATCGTAACCTGAGAGAAATGAACACATAGCGACAACAGGGGAGAAACGTCAGACCAACAATTCCAGGGGCACATCTGGGATGGAGCGGGGTGTACTCGTGTAAACGCATGCCCTTGTGGTTAGATCACAGACCTCACACCCTTACAATGCCCGGACAGAGCGACATTCCGGCTGTTCACCAACCCAGACTACGTTTCACGGGGATGAACCAGAAGCTGGTCATGTCCATGCATTCACTGCCCCGAACCCGATATTACATGGGTTGAAGGGCATCCCGGCTAACCAAACGTTTCAAACGTTTCACATTCGGTAGGCTCGACTATACTTCAAGTGCCGCGAGTGAATTCGATCTTTGCTCGCTTGTACGAAGCAGGCACGCCATACCCAGTGAATACGTCGCTTCGAATCTGACACGCTTGGGAGTATGACCAACTATCCAGTGTTCCACAGGCATCCTATGGGGCGTGCACTCTAGGACCGGAGCCCCCGCAAGCTACATTACATGAATGAGCAACCCCATGCCCTATTTAGCAGTTTTTCATCCCCATGCCACTTGAGCTAACCCTACCTCGACCGATTCACCTTCGCACTCACAGGCGGAGGGAATAAATGTCTCAGTTTCACGGTATCGTTGGGATGGGGGTGCACAGAATTGCATGCCGTCCAAGTTCAGCAAATGTTGCAAGAAGAAGGGCATGGTTTTTGTACATGTTCACGTCTGGTGTTAACTCACAATGCCCACCGACTGTTCATGAAAGGGGGGCAACCGTGAAAGGCTGGAAAACGACAGCATGAACACGACAGGTACGGCGAGAGGGAGAGAGAGAAAGAGAGAGAGAGAGAGAGAGAGAGAGAGAGAGAGAGAGAGAGAGAGAGAGAGAGAGAGAGAGAGAGAGAGAGAGAGAGAGAGAGAGAGAGAGAGAGAGAGAGAACACATCGTCACAAGCGAGGTCGTAGGAGAGACCTGTTTCTACAACGTCAACGCCACGGGCACCTGGCGGTAGGATGCGGACAGCGAGATGAAAAAAGGTGGGAATAACACATAGCCTATTTTTGGGTAGGGAGAATGCCACATGGCTTTTCTGATGTGGTAGTGTTGTTGATCCTATTCCTTTTTAGAATCGCTAGAATCCCCGAAAACTTCTTCGTGGGTGTGTTTGATGCCAACGAAATCGAGCGCTCTGTTTTCGTTGCATGCATACCGCACACTTCTTTGTTGTTCCCCTGGTCGCAGTAGCCGTCCCCAATACCGTTAACCGGTTCTCAATTCTCCACCATTTCAGCAGTAATGTCGTCATCGTCGACGCAAGGGGCTTCCAGGTCGATGCAGGCGAAGTAGTCTGGGTTGCAACCCCAACCTGAGTTCGTAACCTGAAGTTGGTAGAGGGAGCGGGCAATCAATTTCTCAGCAAGGGCGCGGCGGCGAGGAGGGGAGAGAGAGAACTACATGTACGGAAACCTCTGGCATGATTGGCATGATGAGTGCACTTGAAACGTGGAAAAGCATCGGGCTTGCATCCGCCGTGCAGTGTACCAGCATGAATAGTTGTTCTTGATCGGTAAACCAGAGCGTATCGTGCGCAGAAAGGGGGGGACACCAACCAAGAGAGCAGAGCCAACCTCTCGAGCCCGTGCGAGTAAAACAGATCGTACCTGACAGGTGCATTCGCAGCAGTCGCCGCCGTCGTAGCCTGCAAAGTCGGGGACAGAGGAACGACGACAAAGAAATTGGAATAGGAAAAGCGTGGACATGTATGATAGTGACGAGCCAGCATGAAACGCCACAACCGTTGCAACGAAGGTTTGTTAGGCTCACAGCAGCTGGATTTAACCATTCAATCAGTGACGGGAGGGGAGCTTCGCACAAACGCCGAGCGTTTCGCTGACAGCTTATTGGACCAGGCGCGTGTTACCGCCTTGCTCGACAAGTACGAGAACCGACAGAGAGGGGGGTCGTGAGAGAGCGCGACAGAAATGAGAAACAAGCAACAAGCCCACGGATCTCGCCGATGAGTAGTTATCATGGCTTTGACAGGTGGGGCGCAGGGTTAACCACATGTGTTTGAAAGAGGCGACGGAGAAAATAAATCGAAGCATGGGGAATACTAATACAATGTGCGAAGACTACTGCCTACCGACAAACTTGAAAGCTTCGGCCGAGGGCAACGGTCTTGAAACTTGGTGTCACACTCAGATACTTTCTTAGGTATCCGGCCAGCTTCCAATATCCCAAGGGCTTAGACACCTCCGGTTCCGATCGCACCCATGCGTTTCAGCTTGCCACTCGGGTCGTAGCTCCTTCGGCATGTATCAACCAAACCTAAGAGCACTGCTCGTCGAAAAGGAATTCTTGACGCGGGTTGTCGGCTACTGGGAGGAGGTGATCAATCTTAACATTGCTTCTGAAATAAGCCAGTCATCACCACGAGGTATCGATACCGTTTTCTGCATTGTTGTATTCCTGATGGCACCGCGCGTTCCCGGCGTCGATGTTGGCAGCGACACTGGAGAGGATGACCGCAGCACCAAGAATGCCCAGCAGGCGGCTGGAGGTTGTTGTCATGGCTACCACGCCGCCCCTCTCCAGGAATTGCGGCCTGATTGAGGAAAGCAGCGAGCGCAGAGCGATTCGAACCACACAGTCAGTTATCCTCGCAACGCTGTGGGGTTTGAGACCTGAGTTCGAGTCTCAGCGCAGTCGCTTGAACTGAGATTGTTGATGGTGTGGCTGCCTTGAGGTAAAAAACATTCCGGCCTTTACTCAAATTAACATCCGATCTGGCCCAACTGGTGCCGACGCCTTCGGTCATCGCAGGCTAACTGTACCGACAATGGATGGTACATTTTACCTCTGGCTTCAACGCACCGCAGCTTCCGCGACCACTATTCACCGTAGGGCAGAGGTACACACAAACTCCGCATTGCCAAAGAAGCATGCACCATGAAAAACATTGCACGAAGTATTATAGTGATACCACAAGGGTCACGTTGGGCGCTCTCGTCGTCGTCGTAATTACAGTGTTGTTAGGCCGGAGGCCTTCCCCCTTCTCTACGATTCCCCCGTACCTTACGGTGCTCGCGCAAGCAAAGGAGGTCTTTGTTCTTGATCCCACGTCGGAACTGAGCACTGGTGTTGGCCAAGTTCACATTGTTTCATTTTCTCGGCGCTCAATCTCTGAACTGCCAAGCCCTAGTATGTGGGGCACCATCTGTACAAGTACTGTGCTGCTCTTGTTGTTGGCCGCTACCACCTCTACCCGCGAAGAAATTAAAATGATTTCCAAGCTTCGTTACTTGTTCCCTTTTCTCTCCTGTCTTGAGCCTCTCTCTCGATCGTTCCCGCATACAGGCGCAGACCTGGCAAGCCCGTAGCTTGGAGTACGTGATCAACACGATGCCACCTCGCGATATCCTGGGTGTGTACGAGGGAGATAATACACCTTCCGCGTTGTTTGCGATACATGTAAGGTATACTGTAGTTTCGGTTACGTATTATTGTCGCATGCGTACACATAGGATGGGGTGAAATCCCGTGTTTCTAACACAACGAGGTGGGTGAGTTTGTGGGTGCGAGGTGTTTTAACGCGACGGGGGCAGTTTCCTTGCCTACATACATTGATTGTGTTGCGGGGCGAACCGCAGAGACGCAGACTGTGGTGAGAAATTCGTGCAGCCTGTCTGCAAAAAATATCCGTTTCACACTATATCTCTTTTCTTCTTGCAGTATTAGTTATATTGTGCCCGAGACCCTTGCTGAAACATATCGTTGCATCGTCTCTGCATCTATCAGCAGCTCGCATGGCCGTTTTGTTTTTGCAGAGAGGCACACGATGGAAACGAACCTTTTATGTGGCTTGCACAAAAGTGTGGAGGGTGGATGTCTAGACTACTGTACATGTGGTGGGCAGCTCTTGGGCAGCTAGTACATCGCGTTGTTGTTGCTTACACGACACATGCTGCTTTCGTCTGGGTTGCGCAGTACATAAGTGCTGCATAAAGACACAGAATCATGCGCGGTGGTCCTGCTGGTTTTCTTTTTCTATGGGTGCTCGCTTGCGTTTCTTGCGGAGAACGAAAGTATTGGTCTCGTATCTCGGTACCAGAAAAAAACGTCACGACTTCTTTGTCAAGTGTTAAGAGAGGGAATCATCCTCGACAGACGTTGAGGAGATTGTACCCTCTGAATCCGACAGAGGCCACCCGCACCAAAGAACCGCTTATTTTCGCCGAGGCTCGATGCATATTGGCTGCCTCAAATTGAGCACCTGTTTTTATGATTTTTCAAAGTTCCTATATTGGGCAGGCATATTCCGAATGATGGCACGCAGCGTGGAAGGCACCCGAATGTCATGCGACGAGGGGTATGCTTTGTACAACAAAGCCAAGCACCTACCCCCCCCCCCCCCCCCCCTCCGCACCGACTAAGCTAAAATGTGAACACGGCTCCGAGTGCTAAGCACCGGGTTCATGTAGTAATTTAGTGGCGGAATGTCTGTTGTACAAGATGGAGAGGAAATCGTACATGACTGAGCTGGGAAAGTAGAAGGAAGGTACATGGAGATGTTTGAGGTGTGGAATAGCCAGGAGAAGACGGTATAGCTGAACTGGGGCAGGCATAGGAAGTGGGTTGAAAAGGCGGGAAATGGTATCGATAGGATAGATAGGTTACGGGAAAAAAAGTTGAGATTCCTTTTTTGGCAAAGTAGGAACGAACGATTGGACATCGGTCTTCGGTCCTGTGGGAGCAACACCCCGTGGACACGTGGTCAACGGTCTAACCGCTTAGTCAGATAGATGTGGAAAACATAGACGTACACATCCCCCCGCCCTTCACACCACCAGCCACCAGTATTGTCTGAAACAAAACAGATCCCCCCTCCTCGCCGCTGATGATCTGAAACTGCCGGTGGGCGGGGGTCACCGGACACCCCATGAGTCACCCCTCACCACCTTCTTTTCTTCTAATATTGCAGCTGTCGCGTTTTGGTCTGTTCTTATCTGTACGCATGATGCGCAATGCTACACCACAAATAATGCGGATTGTTGTTCTTAATACCACGTCGGAACTATAGTGTAAGAAAAGCAGCCTCGGAACTGATCAAGTGTTGGCTCGTTACTTGGCGACTAGACTAGATGGCGAAATGGGCTCCAGTCTCGTGGGCTATTGTCGAACATTTTTACTCGGCATGATGCAGAAAAAGCTGTGTGTTTTTGCACCCCTGTCTCTAATAGGAAAAATATCTACAAACACAGAAAGGCTACCCATTCGAGATAAGACCACAGTCTCTACGTAAACAGCTTTTCTTGCAAAACAAAAGCACCCCTATGGGCCGCTCAGCAAAAAAAACAAGTACTGAAACAAATACTACAGAATGTACCTTCTACTGATGAAACTCCCCGCGATTCCATTCTTACGTGCCACGGCTGTACGATTAGTCCCGTTCCACAAAACGCGGATTCGGTACATAGACAATCATCCCAGTCCCGTCAAAGAAGGCGTGCATCGGAGGTCATCTTCGCTGTGGAGTCTTTCTCAGAGCAGTGGTTGACAACAACGTTGCCTGCCGTTGTTTGTTCGAACAGCGAATGGATCACTAAACATCGCTGTACCTGTGGGATATTTGGAACCGCTGTGAGCGACCCAAACACCCTGAGAAATTCTCACCGGGTTGCTCTCTGTGGGGGTATTGTTGTTGTTGTTGTTGTCTTCACATTGAAACCCGTTTCGATCTCTCTCTACCCAGTACGTCATATGTCTGTATTGATCCAACACTTGACGCGGTCGATTCTCGTGGTCACAGGCTAACTTACCAAAAAAAAAGGTACACTCGAATAAACTGGCCCCGAGGGGTCTGCATAGAATCAAATCACATTTCATGGTTGAATGTATGAAAAAATGAAGTCAAATCTTCTGCCCACACCCGAATTGAAAGGGCCTGTGTTTTTGTCTCTCACTTCCCAAAAAATGCCATTTTTATTACTGTGTCGCCGCGCAAAGGCCAAGTCTTGGAGATGGAACTCTCCCCCTTCCTCCCGGCCCTTAAGCCTACGAAGGAATCCACATGCGCGCTTCCTTAAGCAATAAGAACCAGGCTGACCACATTCCGCTGGTCACCCAGCTTGGACACAAACCTTCATGCCTTTCCATACTCTGCTCAAGCCTTCGCTTCGCCCGAGCACGCTTACCTCGGCTTAACGGTCATTCCATGTCCTTCTCTTTGGCTAGAAAAACGCTTACGTTGACCATACTCCTCTCATTATCCAGCCTTTCCATGCCCTGCTCGAGCCTAGAACATGCTTCCTCGACCTTCTGGTCTTACCATGTCTCGCTCTCGCCAACAACATGCTTACCTCGGCTTAACCGGTCGTTCCATGCCCTGCTCAGCAGCCAGAGCCACGCTTACCTTGAACTTACTTGTACACCATCATGTGCCTTCCCATGCCCTGCTTCAGCCTAGAACACGCTACACGTGTCTGGCTTCCGCCCGAGACACGCTTACCTCGGCTTCAAAAAAAAAAAAGAACGAACCGACGATGCTCTTACTCTCTTTCTCTGTCTGTCTCCTCCCTTCCGTACACTCGCTTCCTTCTTCTTCCTCCTCTGTCTCTCTTCTACTCCTCCTCTTGTTTGCTTGTTGTCTTGCTCTTTCGTTCAGATGTTTCTTCTGTTGTGAGCAAGGTGCATCTCTTTCTTTTTCTTTTCTTCCCGTTACACATGCCTACCTATCTATCAATTCTCTCTTACCTACGGTGCCCCCTTTGATCTTTCTAACCGTTCTGACAAAACACCAGGTTGAACCTTCCACTTTTGTCTCTCACTTCCCGAAAAATGCCATTTTTATTATTGTGTCGCCGCGCAAAGGCCGGGTCTTGGAGGTGGAACTCTCCCCCTCCCCCCCGGCCCTTAAGCCTACTAAGGAATCCACACGCTTCCTTAGATAACAAGAACCAGGCTGACCACATTCCGCTGGTCGCCCAGCTTGGACACAAACCTCCCCATCACGAAGTCTTGTTCTTCTTACTTCTGGATCCCTCTTCCCGATTTCTTCCCCATTCCGTCCCTTGCCTCGGTTGGCTCTCAAACACCCCTTCCCCTTCTTCCAACACCTCCGACACCATGCTGGGTCTTGCATATTCGCCCTCACGTATGCCATTCGAATGCGTTCGACGACCACCTCCCTTCCTTCTTTATCACAGCCAGCCTCCGGTACCCCTTTCGCGGCCAGCCTCGTCGCCCCACCTATCCTTCCCGAATGTAGCGCAAACTCTTCCGGTTTTAGCTTCGCCCCTGCCCCTTTCCCTTCCTTCGACCACATCTTTGACACCGCTCTTGTCCCCTTCCTCATTTGTTCTGTCGCCTTTCCTCTCTGCCATACCTCCCACTTCCCTTTCCTTCTGTGTACCATCATCAATGGTGTCGTTGCACTTAATCCTTCACTTCCATAAATCCCGAATAGTTCCAGCATCAATTCCACCGCTCCATTCGCCCTCCCCCTCTCCCTGACCATCACCGCTCCTTTCCTCCCTTGGTCTCCCTTCGAGCCTCTCATCTGCACTTCGATCTTATCTGCCCTTAACCTCTCTGGTCCTTCCAGCTGCTTGTCGCCCTCGACGAATGCCACGTCCCCCCTGTGCACAGGCAGTACACTTCGTGGATTTTCCCATCCTTTTCCGCAAACAACTCTGCCGCCCTCAATATCAGCAGATGATATGTCAAAGCCAATCCGATCCATAGAGCACTCTTCCCCCCTGCACCCTCACCGCCAACACTCTGCTGCATTGCACTCAACATTCCCCATGTCAGAGGTCTCCTCACTCTTCGTTTTATACAACTTTTTTCAAAGCACGGATCAACTTGCAAGCGGGCTAATTATTGCGCGCTTGCTTCAGTATTTTACTGCATAATAGTAAAGACAGTTGTACGGTGACAAAACCGTGTACACAGCGAGTGTTGTGTCGTTGTGGACGGGGTCTCGCGCTGTGGGTCAGGTCCCGATTCTTTCGTGGGTGGGGAGACCGAGGCACGCAAGGTGCTCCGCGCCGCGTCTTGCGCACGGGGAGGCCGCGGTCGTGTCGCGGTGATCGTGCGGACATGGCGGCGCAATCGCCTATGGGTGGACTAAAACGACATCAAACCGGTTTTGGGTAAGAGCTGTACCTCTCGGCTCCGAATCCGGTGCTTTCCTCTCGCATGGGGGTTGACAAAAAGGCACGCAAGGTGCTTCGCGCCGCGTCTCGCCCCCAGCGTGGCCGTGGTCGTAGCGCGGTGAGCGTGCGGAGGTGGCGGCGTAACCGCGTGTGGCACACAAAAAAATCGTCAAACCGGGGGGCGAGCGCTGCGTCTATGCTGCGGTGGTGGTCTGCTTGGAACGTCTCGGCTACAACTAACTATTTCGCTTGGAGGTAGACCGAGACACGCAATGTGCTGCTTGCTGCTGTGCGGTAACCGTGAAGCGACGCGATGGTCCAGCCCATGCGGTGGCTGCAGGAAAGAAGACTCCGCAGCTCCGACGCACATGATTTGTGGCGAATGCAGGGTCGGGTGGGGCCGACAACATCGCCGAGGCGAGACAACATAACCAACTTTTCTCGTCACTCAGGCTTATACCGAACGCTGACCATCTCGTCTCGCCGCTGCTTCCCAAAAACAAAAAAGTGATACAAGCACACACCCGCCCAGTTGCAGCAATTCCAAGAAGGACCAAATCGCCATGTGTATGGCGTCGGTGAGGGATTTGAGCACCCGGCTCATCTATACCAAAACCGAAACTCCTGAGCACCGCGTATGCACAGTACAGTAGCCCCGACGTGTTTTCAGCGGTATTTTTTGTGAGTCCTTGCCGGCACGATTGTCGATCACGGGACTCTGCTTGTCCCGGTCCCGCAACTGCTCTCCGGGCTCAACAGAACGAAGTATATGATGCTCTGGATCGATCGCACATTGTGACCGCTGCAGAGAACCAGCAAGGTTAAAAAAACGACAGTTGGAACCCTCGTTGCTCTCAGGAGTCCGCATCCATCTAGAAATCTAGACCGCATCTACGAAGGCTTGGTTTCCGCAGCACGATTCTTGTTGCCTGTCCCTTCGCCATGTGATCCTCCTGCTGGGGAACTTATTGCGTCACGAAGTCGATCTGTGTTCGGTCGGCGTTAACCTGCTCACAAAACGATCGCGAGAAGTTCGGTACCACGTAGTAACGGGTGTCATGTCGGGGGTGGGGAAAGTATAGGTGCATGGCAGGTCGTGAGTCCAACAAGAACGAAATAGGAAAATTTGCGACGAAGAAACCCTGATGAAAAGAAAAATAGGGAAAGGGTGCGGGCAAGAAAAATGTCCCGGTCTGAAAAACGATCATTCGGCAATGAAGACGGCAAAGAAGCGGGAGAGGGTGGGAAAGGATGAGGTGTGAATCCAAAAGAGAAAGAGACGAGGCAACATGAAGGAAGCAACAACCACAAGCTCGAGAAACAAAGCATCGCCTCAAAGGACCGAATCAACTTGAGAACATGAGCAAGGCGGACCTGCACAACGTTGAGGTCCGCGTACTCCTCCAGGCACTCCCTCAGCTGCTCCACGCTGAAACCCTTGCGTACCACCATCGCCTCGGCTGTTTGATAGCCCACGTGCGACACGCCTCGCCCCGTAACTACCGTCGAGATCAGGCGGCAGCGGCGAGGGATGAATGGCAAAAGGCTTCCGTCAAGGAATATTAGCTGGGGACTACAACATCTGTTCATGATGGTTCCGGTACCGATTGAGCTCGGCGGCATGGCGCTTTTTCGTTTGTTCGGTTCAACGCCGTTTTTGAATCAGCACTCACTCCTGGTTTTAAAAGGTTTCGCCGGGAATTCGGCTTGAACAGTGCATGCTGCATCGCTCCAGACACAAGATTAACCTGGATCAGAATATACTGGCGATACATAGGATTTCATCAGGGGTCACATGAATCACGCAAAACGACATCGATCCTTGGCGGGTGTGGCGCTCGGTGACAAATATGGACTACTTCTACCCATACAAGCAGCCGATATTCTAAAAGTTCTGCAGGCGAGCGTAACATCAAGGGCCTTTCGGCTGGCTCCCCCCGACGGCTCTTTGTCGACCATTACCCGTCCATCCTTACACACCTCAGGCAAAAAAACAAAAAGAAAGAAAAGCATGCTTACCATAGTCCCTGATGATCGTGTATATCCTTGACATCATGTCCTGCGAGTCTCCCCCGTCCCGGGGTTCGTCGTCTGCCAAGGATGCCTTCGACATGTGGGTCAGGCGGATGGCCTAGCCAACGGCAGCAGAGTCGTGCGCGAGAGGAACGGGTGGTTCATGAAAGTATGTTGGTGGGCAACAGATGTTCCGACTTCTACAAATAACGACCACCCATTGTTGCGTATTTGTTTTCCTGCCCGCTGAGGCGGTTGCAGAGGTCATGAGCTTGCAAAATCAAGGTATCCGAGTGACGAAGGAACACGTAAGAGAGACCATGCCGGGAAAGCACAAACCACGCGTCACCCAGAAAAGAGAGGTAGAAAACGGCAGTCGATTGATTCACCCTCCCCTTCTTGCGACACCATCTTCCATTATTTTAGCGTAGCCACGGTGAAGGGACTACATAGCGGCCATGGCAGCGATGTCTTCTCAACGCGAGGCGCTCGGAGTGATCCTCTTGGGACTCTCCGACTGCTAAACTATCTCCGAAATAACGATCTCCGTCGTGTCACGAGTTGATTGGCTTACCTCGTCCACCTCCTCGGAGGTGACACCCTCCAAGAAACGGACCCTGGCCAGGGACTGCGATAGTCGGAGGATGCTGAGGAGCTGCCTCGCGGTCATGACCGTCTTTTTTTTTTTTTTTGTCGCGACGCACGTATGCAGAGAGACGAAGAACGAGAGGGACAAGGAAAGACGACGTAGTTTTTGAGCACCATGGTACCGTAGTACGTGACGGACAAGCAAGAGCATGTACGACCGGGAGAGTGTGACGACGGATCATGGACTTGTGAATAGGTAAGATTCGTGAAGCTGTGCTGTGTCCGATGACAGCAAAGCGCCCACCCCGTCTCCGTTGGGATGCGGAGGCACAGTCGGGAAATGCAACGATTGAGAGTCGAACGATAGGGGGATAAATACTCGCGTTTGTCCAGGACAAACAGTCGGCAGGGAGGTGCTAAGCCTAACTACGCAGCGCTGGCCGGGGGGAACGAGTTGTGGATACCTCGCGAACACTGAAGTGAAAGCTCGTGACCATTTTCGACACGGCCAGCAACATTCCTGCAGAAGGCCGCGTTTGTGTTTGTGTCTGCACTCTCAAGCATCGAGGAAGGAGTGCAATCATGTACCCGCATGCTGTAGTCGTTAGACCGTTGACCTCGCATCCGTGCAATGCCGGGACGGGACGGCACTTGCCGTGTTTTTTGCCGGCCCAGGCTACGTTTCACAAGGATTAACCAAGCTGGTCCTCATCCTTGCGTTTGCTGTGCCAAACCAGACATGCCATGACGTTCCGGCAAAAAAACACGTTTCACATTCGGTAAGCACGACAATAACTCAAGTGCCGCAAGAGACTACGATCTTGCGCGCTTGTAGTACGCAACAGGTGCGCGTCATACACTTGGAGTGCAATCTGCCTATACATTTCACGTGCAAACTTTCCAGATGGATATGTAATTCATACGATTTTGCTCTAGGGTGTTCCCAACTATCCAGCGGACGACATCCTTTACAGGGTGTGCACTCCACGACCGAAACCCATCACAATCTCACAGGACATACCGAGTAAACAAATCTCACGCATACAAAAATTCTACACCCCCATGCTAGTAGAGACAACCAACCCACCTCTGGACCTCACAGGCGAGGGGATACTAGTTCTCGGATTCACGCCGGGGGGGGCGGAGGGGGGGATAATTGCCCTCGGCTTCGGATTGCGAAGGATCAAGATAAGAAGAATGACTTCACCAACACCAACGCCAACACCAACATGACTAACCTGGTCACCGTTCTTGGCGTCTTGCCCGGACTGCGCCCTGAGGGCCACGTAGGCCTCGACAATGTAGCTCGTCAGCTCCTCGGGGACGTGGGGCTCCAACATGCGGGCCTGCGTTGTTCATGAAAAACGCACAAGAAACCATCGCAGGTGGGAGGTGTTTCGGCGTTTGTGCGAAGACAACGGGTTGAGAGGCGTAGATAGAGAGGCAGGGGCAGAGGGGCAGGGAGGGAAAAGGGGCGGAGGGAATGGAGGAGGAGAAAGAGAGGGATATATCAGCCCGAGCTAGATCTGACAAACAGATTATTTTTCAGAGGAGGGTACAGGGCATGGCGAGAGTGGTGGCGAGGGTGTTCGCCTGACTGAGGCGCCTCGAGGGTGCAAAGACCGCACTGTCCTTTGCAGCGCGCACCTGTGAGATGTACAGCTTGAGGAACTTGGGGTCGAAGGGCTCGAAGTCTAGCTCGGGGTTCTTCTTGAACTGGTGGACGAAGGTCACATGCCGCGCCAGCGCGATGTCGCTCTCCATGTCCGCCTGTTGTGGCCATGAAAACAAAATAATACCTTTCGACTGAGGTTACATCTCGAACGGGTAGTCTTTTGGTGAGGTTATGTTTACTTTCTAAAAAAAGTAACAACACTCAGGAACCTTGCGGGAAGAGGAGGAAGGGTAGTCCACCACCGTGGAAAGCTGAACGAGTGTGTCGTAGACAACGAACGATTTGCTGCACGGACGGTGTTGTGAGACATGCATGTGGTGGACACCCGAAGAGGGACGTACGCCAATGTGGCGCCATTGTTCCCTCGCACAGGCAACACACCAACACAAGAAGCAAGAACGTCGCTTCAGGCCAGATGAACCCAAGCGCAGCGCCTACTCCAAAGCGAGAGAGAAGCTTTTCGAGGACTAATCGAAGTTCCGAAGCCCACACTGCCACCACACCAAGACCGCCGGCCACATCACTAGAAACGAAAGCTTCGGATGGAAGTAATAACGCACCCAAATAGAGCGTGTCCGATGCCAAACACTTTCACTGCGGGTCACCCGTGGGCACACGAGCCTGAACACCGAGCGACGGCCTACGTGTTCGTAATACAGCCCTCAACTGCCAAATCGAAGCGGACAAGTAACTCAGCAGACATGCTGTCCACCTAGCGAACGCAAGCTCGAGCGACTAACGTTGCAGCTGCTAGGCTAATTGGATTTCCGGTTTTTGTTTAGGATTGAAACCCTGTACCCCCTTGTTCGAAAATATAAGGGCCGTTCGGATGCAAGCGCAAATACCACAAATGGTCCTCATATTTCCGAATACAGAGTGCTGTTGTCAACACAAGCAATCCATGCCCCTTCCTTTCCCTAGACGCCTTTCGTCGCCACCAACATCGACATCAAGAGTGCCAACCTTGTCGAGGATGAGGAAGAGGAGGTCGAAGCGAGACAGCAGCGAGTTGGGCAGGTTGATGTTCTCGCTCATGGCCCGGCGCTTGTTGTACCTCCCGTACAGGGGGTTGGCCGCGGCGAGGACGGCTGCCCTGGCGTTGAGGGTGGTGGTGATGCCCGCCTTGGCAATGCTGACGGTCTGCTGCTCCATGACCTTGCCAACACACGAGCGACGGGGAACAACCAAAAAAAAACTTCGGTGAGCGTCGTTTCGAGGATAGTCGGTGGCCGTTGGCGACGACTCCGACGGCTGCTGTTGCACCCCTATCACAGAAGGCATCAAAACAGGCGTTCCATTGAAGTGCCACGAGAGCGTTATCCTGACGAAGAACGCGCGGGTTGTATGACCAGACTAACAGTCGTGCGCTTAAGGCATCGTGTCGTCCCTGGATCGTCTGAGAAACCGGATGCTGCTCCAAAAACTACCCTGTGTGCACCGGTTTCGGTCCTTCTTCATGTGGCGGTCGGATATAAAGAAAAGGCGTCAAACGTTTCGGGGGGGGATGCGCACAGCAAACTATCCACAGACACGTTTTGGCGACGGGGACAAAAACGAAAGTCTCGCTTGTCTGACCGGTTGGCCAGCGGTCGCGTCGGAGAAGCCATGTTTCCCATGCACGGGAACCAAACATACGAGAACGACACCCATCAGCGTGGCACATCAACAACATCTATTCCGTGCGTCGACACAATATCAACAAAAAGAGATACACATCAACCTGAGAAACTGTGGTTTCCCTATGGCACCACCGCACTGCTGTACTTCGCACGCCAACATTTCCAGCTGTTCAATTGTGGCACAACTGCCAACATTCGCCCTTTCCAGCCGTTACGACTGCTGCTTTTTCCAGCTGTTACGACCTACCTCGTGTATAGCCGTCCGATCAGACTCGTCCATCTTGTCGAACTCGTCGATTGCGCAGATGCCCCGGTCGGCAAGCACGAGGGCTCCTCCCTCCAGCGCCATCTCCCCCGTAACGGCGTCCTTGCTGACCTGTCAGTTACCGTACAGCATGGTCAGAAACATGGTGCAGATCGAAACTCAACGCACAATACCGTCCGATTGTTCGTGCGAATATGGTCCAGTTCGAGATTCAGGAGATCCTTTCGGAGCGGCCATGAGGAAGGGAGACGTGCAGTGTGGTGGCGGCGGATTATCGGTGTTTGTTAACGCCTGTCTGCAATTTGCTGGTCAGGTACGGGATCGAGAAATGGAACCTGTATGTAACGTCAGGGTCCCGGAACGGTGAGATCGCGAATAGTGCCCGACCTCGGTAGTTGCGGTCAATCTTTCTCGGCATTGGTAGTGTTGTTCGATCCGCTACAGAGCGCGGGGTCCCTCAACAGTGCAGCAAAGCGAGACTGTCACCACACCGCACTATCGAGGGAGCTTGCCTGTTGACAATTGCTACGTATACGTCGGTAATCTGCCGGGTCAATTACTTCTTTTTTTGCTCAAACGTAAAGCAGAGAAACGGTTCTCCTTCGAAGGCTTCTAGACCCCCGAAACAACCCGCGGCACCCTCCCAACAGCTTTGTCCACAAAGTCTATTTTTTTCGCGTACAGACTCACAAGGACTAGGGTTAGGGTTAGGTTCGTTTTGCCAAGGACGTGTCGGCTCAACAGCTCACGCATTCGCGGCGCGGTAAAAAAAATGGTTGTGATCGAGCTTCATATCCGCTATTTGTACACCCCCACGCGATTGACATTCGTCGTTGCACACTTCCTTGCACAGGCAGATCGCGCATCTGTTTGCGACTGCTTCGTTTCGAGTCAGGACCACGAGACAATCCAAGGCAGGGTTTTGGTCCGGCATGCATGGCAAGGGAAACGGGAGTTGACGGGATGGTCACCGCATCCTCAGCACCTCGGGTGCAGCACGCACACTTCACACGGGCAGCGCTCACTTTGCGCTTGTTTATCCACTGTGTACCGTGTGGATGATTCCGCCTGGGCACATCCAACGCGTCGTCTTCCTATTCTACAGGAGGTAAGTCGTGGATCGAGCACTATGCACTATTGCAGAGGTAGACAGTAAACAGGAGCAAGTTGGAGCAAATCAAGAGAACGTCGCGTGTCGAAACCACTTTTCGAAAAACTGCTTTTTTCACCCAGTTTATGGGGATCTTGCTTTCGTTCTCGAGTCAGTCGTCCGTCATCTTCGCGAAGCCATAGACCGTCCTCGGCCTACTTACCGCCGCCGTCAAGCCGACCCCTGAGCTTCCCTTTCCCGTCGTGTAGACGCCTCGCGGCGCCACGGACGCGATGTACTTGAGGAGCTGGGATTTCGCCACTCCGGGATCGCCTGGTGCCCGGCGCGAGCGCAATGCGACGACACGGGACAGATGAAAACGGTGAGCTTGAGGAAGTCGAAAGAGAAGTTGGGCACGATGTGACCACAGGATAAATACGGGACAGAGGAGAATGGTGAGCTTGAGGCAGTCGCGAGAGGAGTCGGTGGCAGCGGCAGCAACAACAGGAGGAGCAGAGGGAGCAGCAGCAGCCGCCGCAGCAAGGGTATCCGCGAGATCCCAGTTGACGCAGTCATGCGATGAGAAAAGCTGCCACGACCACCACCGCCTCCGCAGCCGCCGCCATCAGCATCACCAGCAACCATGTTACTACACCGAACAGCACCGCTACAATACCGCCACCGCCAACCATATCACAACATCAAGTTCCAACATCCCCTCCAACGACAATAGATCGGCTACCCTTACCCATCAGGCAGATGTTGATGTCCCCCCTGATCCGCATGCCGTCGGGGAGCTTCCTCGTCACTCCTCCGACCAGCTGCAGCAGCAGCGCCTTCTTTATGTCCTCGTGGCCGTAAATCTCGGGAGCGATAGACCGTGCTAGCTTGGAGAAAACCTGTACAAAATGCGTCGGCACTAAAAAAACTCATGTTTTGCCCCGAGGCTCGTTCTCTTTATGGAGTAGGTAACCCAATATCAACTTTATGGTTCCAAGTGTAGGGTTCCTGACTGAGACAGGATGAAAGATCCATAACGCAGAAGCGTCGTCGCATCCACCGCACAGGGAATCTAAGATGGGGTGGGCGGGGGCGGTGCAACCGCGAAAACAAACGAAGGCTAAAAGGGACACCACTCAGGATGGGGGACGTTTGGCAGAAATCCCCCAGAAAATCAAGAAATGCCATGTGGGGAATGAAGTATACTCCCCAGAAGCATGTGAAAGTCAACTGGTGATTCCAAAGGCATACAGACGACATTTTGAGCTCTGGCGTGTGTTTGGTCGGGCATCCTAGCGGTAAAGGGAGGAGGACGAGGAGGAGGAGGAGGAGGGGGCCACTTTTGTTGACATTGGGGTTTCCGCTGCTGTTGTTGAAAAATGACACGAACAATTTGACCATCCATTGTTGGTGGCAAATATATCGGAAACGACGACATCGATACACACGTCTGGATGGCAAGTACGAACCGCTCCAGGCCGGCACGTGAATGAAAGAACAGGGCAATACCCACACCGTGTTCCGCTCTAACCTGGAAATGGCTCTCTGTGGTAGGTCCAGAAAAACCCAAGGAGACCTTTTCTCACCTCGGGGTCTTCAGCAGCCTCGTCGACCGCGGCCTCCATCGACGCTGAAACCTCCATTCTGACCAGGAAAAAAAACACCAAAACATTAACGTAGGAATAGATATGGGTTGGAATACCGTCGGAATGGCTAGGAGGGCAAAGGCGAATACCGAAAGAAATGCAGGTGAACGCACACGATTGATTGTTGAACCTCGGGTGCTCCACAACCAAGAGGTTGCCAAATGCCGAAACAGCTGGTTTTAGAAGACCTCCTTGAGAGCGTTCGTTACAGTACACCTCTGCGCTCGCCTGTACTTTTACGGTACCCTCGCGAAGCACCCGGATGCCAAACAAAAATAAGGAAACGCAACAGGGAGTCTTGGGACTAAAATACACACATAGAAGGAGTATTCTGCAGGCATCGCCCGAAAAATGTGTGGGACACGAGGCTCATGGTAGCGAAGGCTGTGTTCCAACATCAGGAACTCCAATCACTATCATTGGTGCTCCGCTTTGCGAGGTCAATGGCGGCTTGTCGATGCACGTGCCTCGGCGAAATCACCCATAAAAGGTGAGGCCAATGGCAGCTTGACTACGCATGCCTTTACGTTGTCACCCATGAGAGGTGCTGCGAACGACGAAGAAGGAAAGGTCGGGCGTCGAGAACACCATGGTCTGCTTGCTACCGCTCCTGCCGCCGAAACAGGGTGCCCGCCAACATGACCAAGACCAAAACCACACAATCTCGTTTCAGCTCTCATGAGAAAAACCCGACACATGTGTGCGCACCAAAGGTGCTGTTTAGAATACCGTGCGCACGCTACATGACGGAAGCTTTCTTTCTCGTGTCACTAGCGTGCTAGAATATCGCGCGCACGCCATACACGATGGAAGCTTTGTTTTGTTGTCTCACTCATCATAGCTCTTCTTGTGTCGGAAGATGTGCTGCGCCTGCAGGAATGTGTCCGCGATGAGCCCCGCCTTCATCGCCCGGAAGCCGGAGTATCTCACCGGAAGAAACACCCCGGCGATCGACACGATGTCCCCTAAAGTTGACGTCGAGAGCGACACAAAAGGAAAAAAAAGGGGGGGAGCATCGTCGTGAACGTAGGCGGAGGAAGTACGCCTCGATAGTGCTTCCGGGGCGCTGCTTGTGCGTTCTTTTTTCGTGCTGTTGACCGTGGTTGTGTGTGTGTTTGACTGTGTTGTTGTCGTTGGTGGTGCTGGGGGAATTGGTGTTGCGTGTTGGTGTTGGGGTGCAATCTTAGCCCGTTGTCCCTCGCTACCTCCTCCCTCACTCTTGCCCCGCTCATGTTATTTACCAGAACGCACAATGCATTCTTTGTCGTTCAGTATTTTTTGCATTTATTATCCTTAACCTCTATTTGTATCTCTCCCTCTCCCTCTCCCTCTCCTCCCCTCCATACTCCCCTTCCTGTTGCTACGCCACACCCACCCTATCGACGTGCGCATAGTAGCCCCATCCCGCTCCCCTGCGTTATCATTGCTTCGTGCGTCAACCATCAAGCCTCTCACCGGGGCTACACATTCTTGTGAGTCCCCCCCTGCAGTGCACCGTCATGGCCCGCGGGATGTGTCCGATCGGGACTTGATCCGGGAGCTCCTGTATCCGCGCTTCTTGGTACCGCATGAAACGCGACCCTCGCGTCTTACCCATTTTGGTCAAAGACAAAAACAAGATGGAAAACAAAGGGTGAAAGGGGCAACAAAGCGAGCTTTGGTCCAAGGCAATGCGGAAGAGAAGGCATCAAAGGGGCAACAAAGCGCGCGGTTCACAAAATAGAGTTTGCCGATGGAAAGCAGTCAACAACCAAAGGAGCCGTTCCATTCCGAACCGACTTGGTTGGATAAGTGTTTTCTTCTCCCCTCCCATCAAACGGTACCCCAGCAAGCACAAGAAACAGGTGAAAAAAACAAACCACCATCCAACGTACGTCCGATCATATTGTACACGGAACACCTCAACCCAAAGGAGACCCCGTCGGTTACCCAATCAGAGAGCTAGAGGTGCTCGGGCAACGAAATCGTCAGACATTCCGGAGGGAAAAAGGTGTCATAATTTGATATTACGCGGGGAGGGAGGCTCACAAATCGTACCGCCAGCCCTACCTGCATGGACAGCTTCCCGTTGTTCTTGTTGGTCCTACACACCGTGGACGGGCATCGCTCCACCGGCGTGAACTGCCTAGAGAACACCTCGTGGTAGACCTCGAACCTGCCAAAGGTGCCAGGGCCAAACACGATTCTTGTTGTGAAGAAGGAAGAGTAAGATCCCCGCTGTATTGAGCTCAAGTCCGGACCACACCGTGCACGGCCAGTTCAAGCAGAAACATGGCAAACGAAGAAATATGAGCCTCGAAACGGGAGGATCTCAGGTCCATCGCCACACCGAGGGCCACCAATACACCGCTGCCGCACCCTATCAACCTCGCCACCGCTCTCCCCAACCCCACTCAGCACTCCTCAAGCACACCCGGCCCTCGATACCCGCTTCCGCATCGTCCCTCTCTCTCCTCGCGCCTTTCTTCTTCCCTCGCTCAGCCCCCTACCATCATCCATTGCTTTCATGACCGAAAGAGTTCCGTCGTCTGGAGACACATCTCCCAACCGCAACTCGTGAAAGAAAACTCGGTGCGCGCGTGAAACGACAACCGCCGCTCTAGTGAGCACGCTTCATTGGTGTCGATAATGGCGGACAAAGTCGGCTTGTTCGCCCAGTACGTGTGGACGCTACCCACACACATCTCAAACTCTGCCTACTCCCCCTGCAAGCATGGGACACATGTAGGGCGACCAAGGCCTTCGCTCAAGCTAAAAGCAATAAACAACAATAACAACAGCAACAGCAGCCAACAACACCTGCCGACTCACCCGCACGCGTCGCAGGTGTAGGTGACCACAGACACGAGCGGCTGCACGTCCGACACCCTCGTCACCATCGCCCGGATGCGCACCAGCTGCCCCACGGCACCGGCCCTCACCTCGCGCAACGCCTCCGCCTTCATTCCCGACGGCGGCACGAGACGCAGCTCGTACCTGTGGGGGGGGGGAGGGGGGGGGTAGCACCGCAAAATGCACATCGTTAGGTTGGAGGTTGAGGGGATTGCCTACGCGAAGAATGTAAATGTATCATGAAAGTGAGTTTACTACGGAATGAGGATAGGCAGCGGGCACGCAGACTCTAACCCCAACCCCAAGTTCGCCGATTCTACAGTGTATCCGATAGGGATATGGCTAATAAGAAAAACCTGCGTAGACTACTGGGTTGGGGGGGCACCCGTGGAGGTGATCTTTGAACAGTGCCCCCACCTCCCCAACGTCAAGGAACGATTCCCTTATGGACATCATCATCTCCTCCATCATTTTTTAGAAAGTATGCAAACATGATCTCACAGAAAGACCACCCGTTCGAGATGATACCACAGTCGAATGGGATGTGTTGAAGTCTTTACAGCTGTGAGTGGGAAGACATCTTTGCTCCGGCAACGCGCACGGACGTTACACCCGGTGCACACTTGGCGTCGGATACGGCAACGCGGCCGCATCGAGGGTATTCTACGTCTTGTAGTAGCGAGCGAGAAACCGCGTCGTTTGCGGGTGATTACTGCTGGAAAGTGGTAAAGCCACGTCCGTTCTGTACGGCCTGGACTCAACAATCATGCCCTCATATGCATAGAGCCCGAGTTTGACGTTTCGTTGCCTGGAAGCTGTCTAGGCTGGCCGTGCGACGTGTGGAGTGCCGTGAAGATACGCTACACAAGGTGTCGGGGAATGGGTATCGACGTCTCCTGCCCGAACTCCCGGAGTTTTGAAAAAAATTGCCGAGAACCTCCCCGCACCGCTGTGGTTATCGGCGGGCTTATGGAATTTGGGAGGACAAAGTTGCTGATACGGACGTAGATGTCACGCAGAATACACTACCATACCCGGAAAAAATCTACCCCCCATCGATGTCGCGGGCGTCTCTTCTATTGCGTGCGCTCTACAGAACACAGCTTTCGCGACTTTCAACAATCTCGCAGGAAAACAGCAGCCTGCTTGGATTGTGCAGGAAGCATCGCTGTGATACGACAAAGGAAAACAACAAATAGATAACGCTCCTGAACGTCTCCCGCTGTGCCGCGTACCTGCGCACTAGAGCCACTGGGAAGTCGTTGTCGGGAGAATCCTCCAGGTCCGCGTCCGGCTGCTCCTGCGCCTCGGCCCTCTGAATCTCTCTCTGCCGCTGCAGCACGTCCCACACGTCAGCCACCTGCCACGGTGTGAACCAACCGGCAGATAGTCGTGACAACACCCGGCCGACAATAAGGCGGTTGGAAACACAAAAAAACACCAAGATGGTGTAATAGGCAGAGCAAGAATCGTCCCCGCAAAACGCCCACAGCAACGACGAGCAGACGACACACCGCCCAAAGATCCCGCGAAGAACGCGTGCTTATGCCGGCAACAGTTTTTTTTTTGAACCAGTGATCGTGAAGAGCGCGTCGCGGGGCAGGTTGGGGGTGGAGAGACGAGCAGTTGGGGCAACAACGAAGGGTAGGCGGCCTCTGACGTGTGGGAGCGAAAAAGGCTTGTAGGGGCGATTCGAGTTCGCGTTTGTTGTTATGCAGAAACGAAGACATGCAACAGGCAGGCAAGCAGATTTTTGCGAAACCAGCCACCGTAACTGTAGGCAGGAAGACTACAGACCAGCAGCCAGATCACTAGGAGCCTTCAGCCACGACTGATGTCCGTGAAACCACGGCCAGTGGTTCCGCACCAAAAGCGTCATCGAGTCATGGTAAAAATAATACTTGGCAGAGCAAGGGTGGCACACAAGCAGCGCTACCAGCTACCGCCACCACTACCACCACCACCACCACCAGAAACGGCAACCACAGCAGTCACAACGAAAGAGAGCGCCGGCGATAGCAGTCTCACAGCTTGCAACAACAGTGGTGGCGACGGGAACAAAACGTTAAGCATAACCTGTTTACCTGCTCAATGTCAGCCGACGGTTCCGGCAAGCTCTCGTCGATGGCCTGACAGAACAGCTTCTCGTAGCGACCCGCGTTCGCCACGATGTTATCCGCGAAATCAGAGTCGCTGCGGAACTGCAGACAAAAAACAAATACCGGGAGAAAAAAGGTGCGCACAAAGAACGTCGTCCTCGGACTACAAAACAAGGCTGGCGGGCTCCATTGCTCGACGTCCAAGCTTGTGCCAACACAAAGAATGGCGGTATTGGAAACATCTCATCGAGGGCTTTCCGTAGGCGTATCGTGCTCTTTCAGCGCCCACTTGGTTCTGGAAAAATCGAGCTCTGGAAGTCGGAATGGGGGGGTGCCATATCTCCGTCTCTTACGGTACCCTGGGCATTGAGGTCAGAATGATATTGGAAACAGAGGGCTCACCGCCAACACGTCGTCGATCTCCAGCTCCACCACCGTCTCCTCCCGGTTCACCACGCGCTGCATAATCTCCACATACTTGCGCGTGTCTTCTCCCAAAGCCTATCGTCATACGAGCGCGGTGGGCGCACCAAAGTCAGGCCACGGAGATGAACACCAGTCGAAGGTAAGAACATCATTCTTGGAAAGAAAAATACTCCAACTTTCAGATACATTTTCCGGTTTGCCGATCAACAAGCGCACGCCGGCGCATGAAGCTATGCGCCCATGCAGGACCTCTTCTGTGGGCACGATCCCCTCGATGGCAAGCGCCTCGTTGAGTACACATGTAGGTAGATATCGCGAACGGCGCCGGCAAGAGCGGGCACAGGCACCCCTCGCTACAGACGGATTGCGTTCGCGAGGATGTTCGTGTCAATCCATGAAATATCAATCCATGGAATAGAGACTTGGGGTTTCCTTTTCGCCAACCCTACCCCCGTACCCCCTACTACAACCAAGCGTAATATCCTCGCGAACGCTACTGCTTCAGACACAACCACAACGAACCGGCGAGAAAATGAGCCCAAACGGCGGTAGTGTTACTGACCCTATATTTCGCTCCCCATCAAGCAAGTGTTGCTGCTCTGTCATGCTTTCTGGCACGCTGCAGTAGGACCGTAGTCTGTCACGAACACCATCGGCTGTAACCGACAATTACATTCCCCGACGGAGTATGGCGGTATTTACGAAATTTACGAAAGCAGCGCTGCTGTCAGTACCTGTACTGCCTGTGTGCCAACAAGCATGCCAACAAGCAATGCGTTTACCCCCCTCGACCACGAACACCCGGCCTCACATCCCCTTTCGTTTCATGACTCCATATTGTGCTGATCAAGACTCGGATACGTTGCGCAAGGTGTGGCTGCCGGCCAATCAGGCGACCGGAACCGTGCTCCTACTGTAGCTACCGCGGGTGACGCAATATACCACACCCCCTAGACCGACTCGACTACAAGTATGTAGTTCGCGACGAACAGGACGCATAAATGATACCATGCGTTTTCGGAACGCTCTCGACAAGGCGGCTCTTAACACCGCCGTTTCTGGCACCCCCACTTTTCTGCTGTGGAGAAATCGAGCTTTGGAAATCGGTCCAGGCGGAATGATACCTCATGCCAACTTATCCTAAGGTACGTTACACCACACCACGATCCGTTGTATGCTTTGCAGGCAAGGTGTGTACAGCAGTGCAATCGACATGCGCTTCGTTTTCGCTGCTGAAAGACCCTCGGCCCACGACAAAACACGTCGACCTAGAGAAATTTGTGGGGCTACTGGGCGCCGCGGTAGGGTAGCTGTGGTGGACAGCTACACGGGACACGACTGCTGTGGGATTGCACGTGTGATCTTGCGATGGTTGAATCGCTGGTGGCACTACATTTATTCCTCACAACACGTAAACCATCTAAACCAAAACGACTTGGCACCTGTGAGTCAGCTACTACAAACGGTGAAGAAACGAAGTATAGCGATGACAAGAAGAGCGTTGGCTGTACCATTGCGATACAACCGTACGTGCTGTGCATAGAGCCTGGGGTACTGTGCGCACGGAGAGCGCGAGATCCGGTCGTTTCCGCCGCACCTGATACTGGGCCAAAAAGTCCTTGCACTTCTGCAGCTCCTCGGCGTAGTCTGGGTACCCTTCCTGGTTCCCTTCCATAGCGGCACGTACGGCTGGGATACCGGACCCAACTCACGCGTAGATCGGCTTCTAGCAGCAGGCTGCCCCCCCCCCCCCCCCCCCGCTTGGATAGTAACCCCCCAAACAAACGCAGTCTGCCGTAACCCCTCTCTGTCTCCGTCGTTTTTGAAATTTTAAAATGGGCACCGCACACACAGTCGTCTACTGGACTGTAGTATGGCACCGGCCAGGGAAGTGGGAACTGGAGCAAGTGAAACACCTAGCAATAGTTCGAGGAAAACTTACTCAGGTGCCGGGCCAGGGTTAAGTGCTAAGCGAGAGCTACAGACGGTAGCGCGTGACTAACCACCCTGCAACGAAATGCACGGGAGGGGGGCTCGCAGAGCTGTACCACCGGCGGGTATGTACAACACTGTAGCCCAAGGGCGAGTCCAAATTTGAAATTTTGAACTGCTCCCTCTCACAGATGTGCGGCAAGGACGATGTGGACGACTGTACCGCTGCTGTACTAATGGCTGTCACATTTGCTCTGTCCCGGGGGGGCACCGGCGCTTGAGATGGGATGCAGAGGGGGTTATGCTTGGGGCTATGGACCATGGCCTCTTAGTCCAATACATGCCGTGCACCGCCGTCGAGATGCAGAGAACATCCGCGCGCTCTTTGATCCCACAACAATACGCCGCACCTCTGATGATCCGGCAAGATATAGCAGTAAAAGCAAGATACAACTACAAGTATCAGCAGCAGGGTCTTTCTGTAGGGGCCGTGCACACCCAATGTCTACAGTACTGCAATGTCGATTTCAAGAGGTCCTACTGTGTGATAAAGTGGTGCCGCGCCCGGGAGCGGTGTCCCTCTAGCTATGTCCCTCTCACACCTACACCGCATTTTTTTCAACGCCACCACTACGTTGCCTACATCATCATATGCATAGCAAGACTATAGTGTCTTTTATTGCCGTGCGGGGTACAACCCGTTGGCTGTCATACATCGCCTTGTGTAGTATGCTTGACTCAGCGCCTGTTCTTCAAGTTCTTCAAGTTATACTTCGAAGTATAGGTAGGTATTTCTTTGTTGTTGTGGCTGGCGCCTAGTCGACTGTTGTTGTTGTACAAGTAGCATATTTTTCTACAAAAATTCCATTTTTTGTTGTCTTTTGGCGTGGCAGTCTCTGGGCTGATCCTGGCCAAATATAATAGTGAAATAAAAAGCGATCTTGTAGCTTATTCTGCTTCGCCACTGCACGTCCAAAACACAAGTACAAGTCTAACAAAAACCGCGGGATACGAATACAATTTACAACCCGCTCTCCTTCGTCTTGCAGGGATGGCATCTCCCGTAGCGTATCCGGCTTCGCGGATCGGTGTGTCCGGTGTATTTATTCCCCCCAAGAAGTACTTACAGCGTGCTGCTTCCTTGGCTGAAACCGCGCTTCTCAAACATCCGGGTGTGTCCAATACAAGCGAGGCATCCAGGGACACCAAGGAATGAATCAAGGCAGGCGGGTGTGCTCCTTCCATCCCGATGCATCAATCAATGCAAAATCTAGCCAACCCCAATACCTCCCACGGTTTCGAGGGTCGGGATCAACAACCCAAAGAGAAGCTACCGTCAACTTTTGGCGAGAAATAAAATTGTGGCAATGGTTCCACGAATGAAGGAGGTGAGACAGGCGCATGGTTGTGACATTTGCGCGCAACAACCCGGCAAAAGCCGAGTGCACGCCGGCCTCAAACAGGCACGAAAGAAGCGGTCAAGCTCCCCAGGCCTCCGCACTGCTCTAAATCTGGCAGAGGCTCTTCTCGTCGCTTCTGGCAACCCACAAAGAGCGATCAGCCCCGAGTGCACACCGGCCTCAAACAGGCACCAAAGAAGCGGTCAAGCTCCCCAGGCCTCCCCACTGCTCTAATTCTGGCAGAGGCTCTTCTCGTCGCTTCTGGCAACCCACAAAGAGCGATCAGCCCTTGTTTCTCTGCAACCCCGTCCTTCGCCCCCCCACCGGTCGTATGGTTCAGCCCAAACTCATGACCTTACTCCCCCGTTCCATCCGCAAGCGTCTCGTCGTGTGGTTGGTTCAGCCAAATGTCATAACCTCACTGCCCCCTTCCACCCGCAAGCCCCCGCCGTCGCCGCCGTCTGTCTTTGACTCCGCTCGTCTCGCGCGAGCCCGGCGCGCGTTTCCGTCCTCCCCGTCCCCGCCCCCGCCGGCCGCGGCGTCCCAACTACCACGCGGGACCCCTCCTGCGAACGGAGAAGAAGGTGTGGCGCCGGAGTTTCGCGGGATTAGAACGGGGGGAAAGGCATGCTTGAGGAGCGGGATTGATTGGTGAAAAAGGTGCTCATCTGCGAAAGGTTTTCCTCCCGTTGTTAGTGGCCGTACCTCACAGGATCCTTGACGTCGCTAGAGAGGATTTCTCCATCACTACCAGAGCTTGCGAAGACCCGATACTACTGTTATCGGAGATTGACCGGAGATGAACTGAAAAAGCGGTTGTTGATGATTCCATTTGCCAAGAACAACAGTTTTGTGCTTGGGTTTGTGCCCCCTGATCGCAGAAGCAGACGGGGTCTTCCGTGTACTCCGGGACCCAACTTCGAGACCTGTGGATCCGTTGCTGCAGCATTCGTTAAGGTCCCGGAGAAGAGAAATGATAAAAGGCACATGCGAGACTTTTGTGACAAACACACACACACCTGTGCAGTCGCCACATTCACTGAAAAGACTGTATAGCATACCCAGGCAGAGAACATGCCAAAATGTACATGCAAGGGAGACGGGAGGTGGAAGACAACCCCCCTTCCCCTGGGCCAACCGCGCGCTCTGAAGCCCCTAATCCCGCCCGCGCTTACTACTACGCCGCTGTCGACGAAATCGAGTTCTTGCCTCCTGGGGGTAGCTTGTAGTCAGACGCTCCACCTCCTTCGCTCTTCGCCGGGTACCCCCCTGCCCCGCCTTTGCTGCTGGACGATAATCGCTGCGGACGATGGCAAAAGCAAACGATCAACCATGGAATGCACACTCGGATTAGTAAGCTACCACATACGTAAGAGATCTGCGAGAATAGTCGCGGAGGGGATGCTCGAGGCGTATGCGAAGGACGGGCCGGGGGGGGTGCATCGCAGGTTCGGCATTGTAGGCGTGATATGTCTCACGACCGCCCGAAAGAAGCTAAATACAGCGGGACGTCAAAGCGGTGAGCACAACATTCACTATCACAATCACAATCGTGATATATCTCGACACCGGCGGTGTGCCAACTCCTCGACTGGCCAACCCGACAGCAACACCCACGCAACACCCAGCAAACCGCTTCTCTACGTCCCGTCCACAAAACCGCGATACAAGCGCACCTCTCCACCGCCGTGCTTCGACTCAGACCCTGCCCCGCCCGCACCGCCCCATCCACCGTTCCCGCCGCCGCCGCCGCCGCCGCCGCCGCCGCCGCCGCTCAGCAGGCTCCCGCTCCCGGTGGAATCCTGCCGCTGCGGTTGCCCCCTCAAGATCGACCCTCGCTCGGACGGCGTCGACGTTGCGCTGGCTGGAGCAGCAGCGCCAGCCCCCACCGGGGCGTTCTGGGCGCCCATCCCCGAAACGCCACCGAACTCGCCTACACCCCTGGGAAGGGCGTCCATCGCCCCCTCCTCCTGCACGGGGATTGGTTGAGCGTTGTGCTTAATTGTGTCACTACCGTGTCTCGCATTTCGTTCGGTTCGCTTGAAACCGTCAACATCTTCATCGGCGTTTTCCCCGCAATTTTCAATCTCTGCCCCGTTGCCCCCTCCTCCTGCACGGGGATTGGTTGAGCGTTGCTTGATTGTGTCACTACCGCGTATTTCGCTGTCTCGTGGTTCGTCGACATCAAATCCGGTTCTATGGAGGAACGCGTGTTTAGGGCGCAGCCAGCTCATTGCTGCGGGAGGTGTACTTGACAATAGTCAACAACCAGGGCGTGGTGCTCCATAGACATGCAAAAACGTGTGGCGGCGGATTCATGCGGGCGATGTGCACGCGGAATAGATCTAAGGACGGGTTGCAGCGAAGCGGGTGTCGGTCTGTGGGGTAAGAAGTGCATCTAGTGAGCTGGTCGAACAAACATCGAATGGTAGCATCAACGTCTTGAAATCATGTTGAAGTTAACAGCAATCATGTAGCGTTGGTTGGAGCTTGTTATTCCAGATTGGCTCAGAAGAGTCACAGTTCGGCCAGCGGACAACACAGCGCAGACTAGTTGCCACCCCAGATGCCGGACTGGCAACTTGTTGACGACGACAACACATGAACGAGAATCACCTGGTTGAGCATCTTGAAACGAATGAGTCGCTTGAACACGTGGTCTAGGACGCCCATCGGGCCATTCGAAGCGGGCGATTCCTCCGACAGCTCTCCCGTCACGCCCATGATCTCCCCGCACTCCCGCACGTAGTACTCCAAGTCGCTCGGCGTGCACTGAGTCGGATGCAGGTCAGGACGGGGATTGCGGCCGCGGGTATGCATCGAGAGTAGGAACATGACGAACATGTGCGAAAAGAAACAGGTTCCGCCGCTGAAACGATTATTACATTCCGGGCGTGATGCGCGCGCGCCCCCTATCACTAACCCTGACCCCACCTCGGCCGTACCCCGATTCAGCGTAGCCTCCAGCTCTCTCAAGCTTCCCCGGGACCCCGCGAGTACTCTTATCCTAATCGAATATCGTGTATTGCACTACGAACGATTAGCTTACAATTCATGGGGCCCTCGGCACGGCAGCTGACCGAAGCGCCGGACTAAACGTTGTTGGTACGCAAGATCATTTAAGAGGTTGTTGGTGAGTGGGGGACCCTCTATAGTGCCGGGGTGTGTCCCGAGATTTTACCGGCACTATACCGGGCACCGGTACTATTCAGCGAACAGAAAGACGTGGTATTTCAGTATGTGCGAGCCGAAAACACCGGGCAAACACCGGGCACCGGCGTTATTCAACCGGGACTTAGAGGGCTCCCGATTTACCTTGTTCGTTATCTGAGCGAGGCGTATGCGGTCGCTCGCGAAGTGCTCGTCCAGGTCGAATCTGTCCAGCGCCGGCGGGGGAGGCTCCCTCATGATCGGGGGAAAGACCGCGGCGGACAGCTGGGGGAGGGGGCACTCGAACGCCGGGGGGATGAGCGTCAGGGGTTCGTGCTTCACCCCGAGGAGGGAGAACGCCTCCACGGTCTCCGGGATCATCTTCGTGTCGAAGCCGAAGAGGGAGTCGTTGAAGAGCTTGGTGAAGTTCTTCGGCAGGCTCTCGGATTCCTGCGAAAAGGGGCGCGGGTATCGCCGGGTGTAGTGCGGTTTGCTGTGTTGTGGGCACGCTCCGTGGACGCGGCGAACATGGCGCCCTTGTCTTTATTTTCCTACTTGCTGCCATTTTCGTGCTAATTGCTGCAGGACGGGGGAACGCCGATGCCGCCAGCCGAGGATCGTTCGTGGAAGAGGTACACTACGTAACTAACACTATAATACGAGTATTTCAACTTTTCTTGATCATGAAAGACGTGCGCAACACGACGGCTACTCGATATGTGTGCGTCAGCTTCGAGAGAAAACACCACATAGCATGCCTGACCACAACCAGGCCTCGTGTGATCGGCAGGCATTGAACTACTTTGGTAGACAGTGGTGTCATTTCGTCACCAACGCGCAACGCACTCCCACGATTTGGCCGACCACAAACGGTTGACACAGAGAACCAAGCCACACCGTTGTAGGGCCAAACAACCCACGCAATTCTATCCGCAACACCGCCACGACCTCCGAACCACCCACTAGTCGAACCCATGGCAACTATCTCCCAACGCTCAACGAAAAACCCGCGACGAAAGCCGATACTTCTACAACACCCTCAAACCTTGCCTGGCGACAAGGAAGAAATAGTGTCAATTCATTCCCACGGCCAACGTATGCATACACCGGTGCGACAAATGTAACGAAATCACGCCAAGGATCATCTGCGCCCCCAGCAGCACCAAACTCTCGAGAGAGGGAGAGAAGACTCACGCTCGCTGGCAGCTGCAGGACGCCGTCACTATTGGCGCTACGCCTACATTCCTCACCGCACAAGCGCGCCTCAATGTCGTCACGGAAGACGGCCGCGAAGGGTGATATCCCGCATATGCATCGGGAGAGCGCGGAGGAACTACGGGAAACATATGACCTGTTTGATGTCACGCACCTGCAGGCAGCAGCGAAGTCTGTCCGCCAGGGACTCGGTGTTGGGCACCCTTCGGCTGTCGGACACCTCGTACTCTCTGCGCCGGGGGAGTCTCACCCCCGCCTCCCCCAGAAGCCACCGCATAAAAACATCGCACAGCTTCGCGTTCTCCTCCTGAAAAGGTTCCAAGACAACCGAATCCCCGTCGCGTCGTACGCATATGCACCCCAGAGAAGAATTTAATCGTTACTCACTGTCGACGAAAACGGTGGAAGCTTGAAGGTACCATTGTTCTACGATGATTACGTACCGTTATGTTTTGCAATACAAGCACTGATTTCTTCTCGTGTGTAGGTGCTGCCGAAGGATTCGGGCTTTGCCGTGCCTTACGGTACAAGCCAAAAACGTGCCATGATACCATGATCATACAATGCAAGCCCCGGCACCGATTTTGTCCTCTGCGTATGCGTGGGTAGGTAGGTGCTGCCGAAGGGATTCGGGCTTGCCTTATCTTGTGGTAGAAGCAACAAAACGTTTCATGTAACGATACAAGCCCCGGCACCGATTTGTCCTCTGCGTAGGTAGGTTGGTGCTGCCGAAGGATTCGGGCGTGCCTTACCTTGTCCAGCCAGGGGTCCGCGAAGATGTCGCTGGACGCCACCACCAAGAGGCGCCCGGGGCCCTTGCGTACGGCAGGCTCGGATGCCGGGGCCGCCTCGCCTGCCATGGTTGGAAAGTTGAGCGTTTGGTTGGAACAAAAAGGGTGGGATAAGGGAAGGTTACCGTAGTTGGTTGAGGAATGCTCTGAAGCGGGCACAACAAAACCTTTTGCGTACGAAGGCTGGCAGCCGATTTGCTCCTCACTGTCACTGTCGCGGGACCTCCCCTAATTGAGCGGGTGTTCAACACAGGACAGGCGAAACCTCTTTGTACGCATCCCAAGTCTCTATGCATGGGGTGGGCCCCTGGTGTGTAGGGAGGGTTTTCCGGCCTGGCGCACACGTGCCCCACGGATGGCCCACGACTGCAACTTGGTATTCCGGGCTCATCGTTCAGAACGCAGTGCAGTAGCGGCAAAGCGCTTGGAAACGATGTTGTACCCTCGGGACTCGGGACAGCCAAACACACGAAAACTCCTTGTGAACAAGTTTCGAGACTTCAACGACAGGAGCTAGCTTTCGAAAAAAACAAATAAACTACAACCACCTAGCAGGACAACGGAAACGACACCTCGCAAACACCCGAACGAAATTCAGCGTAAAAATAAAAAGCAGGCAGGCGCCACACCAGGCTAAACTACCGGCGAGAGACAAACCGACCCACTTTCGTGATCCTCTGGCCGTGGCACCCTCCCCCCCGACGATCCCATGCCACCGCCGCCCAGACCTCTTCTTCCTCCCGCGCCGTCGCCGCCCGCTTTCCTGCCGGGCGGGGCGTCCATGGGGCGTTCCCAAACGCCGGCCACTGGCCGGTTGAGCGGGTACGAGATGGGCCCGGAGGAGAGCACAGGGTGCGCGGGCGATTGCACCGTCATGGTGGCCCCGTAGGGATATACGAACGTGAGACCGCCGTGCCCGGCGTCGCCGGACGGTACGGCACCCGCGTCGTCCACTCCACCGCCGCCGCTGGCGGCGGCGGAGATGCTGCTCGCGTGGCTTCCCCCTCCGGAGTGGTTGGACGAGGCGGACCCTAGGCGCTGCCCGCTGCTGCTGCTGCTGCCCGGCTTGCTGCTGTGCCCGCCGCGGCGGGATAGGGACGCGGCGTCTTTCATGCGCGCGATCTCCGGGTTGAGGATGCCGTGCGAGATGAATGCCTCTTTCGGGTGCATGTACTTGTGGTACGTGGCCCGTGCCTGCGAGGGAGGGGGGGGGGGGGGGGGTTGACATGTTTTGCATGCCTTAGTTCTTTTAGACCGTTGACCGTGCGTGATCAAAAGGAAGGAGCACAACAGGTTTATTAGACCATTGGCAACGCATCATCGAGAGGTAGGAGCACGAAGGCATCCATAATCGTCATCAACCGTAGACGACACAAGATAACACTCCCACATTAGAAACCACACACCCCACAGAATACGACACCCCGGCGATAATTTTGGACGATTCTGACGAACCATCGATTTATCACCCGGGCTACATACGATAACACATCCCTTGAGGTTATGCGCATACATTCACGGGTCCTCTCCTTCTATCACCGGGGTGATACAGCATCTGCCCCGTGGGCATCGCAAACATACACAACATCTGCGCGCGGGGAAACAACCCGCATGGAGACCTCCAACAACATGAACGTGCAGGAAGAACCGAATGCCGCCGCAAGTACCTCCGCCTCTTCCACAACTGCACCGGCTGCAGCAGTACAAGCGCCACAGATCACCTCGTTCTTTCAAGGCGAGCACACTTCTTCTACGCAAGTGGCTCCTACTACGGTTCGTCTTCCTGCTGCAGCTGGCACAGCAACAGGCGCCAACATGACAGCCACCGCATCGCCTCACCACCAGCAGCAGCCACACGCCTCAAGTGCGCGGCAGCAGCGGTTCAACTCTACAAGCAGTGTTATCACCCTCCCATTTTTTCACACCCCCTCATTATCACACCCCCAAACACACCCTGTGGGTGTTCGATCGTGCTATCACACCCCCTTAAGGGTCCCTGCGAGCTGCACTTGATCACCCGGGCTACATAAGATATCACCCCCCACACACAGGATACCACACCCAGTGATAATACTTTTTATGCCCAAAATGTCATCGCCGGGGTGTGTTATCTTGTGTCGTCTACGGTAGACGGTTCGTGGCTCTGTTCGTCCGTCTCGAGATGAAAGCTCTGCTGATTTCCACCCCCTGCTTGGTCCCTCACCACGCTGTCCTTGTGCACTGTCATGCCATACTCCTCTAGCAGGTAGTTGACGTTCGTGCCAAGCCGCTCCTCTCCCCCCTCCCCGAGAAGAAACACCGCGCTGCCCCCGGACCTCAGGTAACTCTTCACGGCTTCGAACTGCCGCGCGTGCAACACACCAAAATTAGCAAGAACATATTCTCGACTACAGACCGAGCACCGTGTAAACGACTAGTGAATTGTTTGTGGTGCTGCTTATTGTTGGAATGATTTAGTAGTCAAGTGTTCCGGCCTTTACGGGTCCTGCTAGCCGGCGTACCAAACCGGCAGCACAACATTCGGACGCAAACTCCAGCGCGTGCGGCTCGAACGTTTCGGTTGATCGTTCAGGAGGTAAAAGAGGTCGGCGCACAGGTTTTCGTTCGCAACCACCGGGAACGGCCGTTCGTATTGGCCGATATTACTGCTGTGCTTCATTCAAATGAGCGTGCTTCAAGGTGCGGAGGGTTTTGCGACGTGCTTGCTCTCTGTCTGTCTCACACGGAGAATAGCGAAAAAAAAGTCAACCGTCATGCACCAGGCTTGACGCGTCGCACCTCTTCTTGGAGAAACCGTTCTCTCGGAGAACCGAAGACGATCAGGTTCACTCCTCTCAGCGACTCCTCGGAAAGCTCATCCTTGTTACTGCTCGGATATCACGAACGTGGCAGGGTCGGGGTTAAACAGTCGATCCAACGGCAGGTACACCACCCGACAAGGGGCACAAGACGCAGGCCCGCTTCGAAAGCACCCGCGGGGTTCTCGGCTGGCAACAAGCACACGATACCATTGGTGCCGAAAATTCGAACCACCCATTGCGTTTTTTTTTGCGATGAACGCTTCTGCGAGCTAAAATGACCATGTTGTAAAACATGTGATCATGAATTCACTCAGCGGGTGACACGCGTGTGGCGTCGGCCTTGGGCGAATCCCACCTACCGAGCGAGGGGCGTTAGGCGTTTCATGCAGCCAGCGCCCAACTATTAATACTCGTATACCAGAACATGTACAAAATATGCATTGTGTTCTCACATCTGAAGCTTGTACCCGCTTTTGAGCCGCCTCGCGAGCTTCTTGAACCCATTCCCCGGGTGATGCGTCTCTCTCTTCGAAGCATCAAACACGATTACTTTCTGATCTCGCACACACGCACACGCACGCGGTGGAAACGGAGCGAGGATTCAGAGGGGTTTGGGTTGCTTGCCCACGCGAGATTCGGTGGCTAGGGGACGTGCAAACGATTGAGGCTGGGCCCTTCGCTCAGAAGGTGCGGGGTACTCGCAGGATTAATCTAATCAGACCCCAAAAGCTGTGATATGAACATGCGAGATTATGCCACGATATAATTGTGGTTGGTTATCATGATATGTTTAGAACGCACGTATCCTGTTTGTGTGAATAGTGGGCCTGATCGTCACGTACGGCATCCGCGTCAGATGGACCAGGACGTACGATGTCAGAAGGTACTGAGCACAGGATGGAATTGTGTTCAACATTCAAACACAATCACCACCACCACCTTCATCACCAACAGCAAAAACGACAAGCACAACACCAACACCAACACCAACACCACCAGCCACAACAACAACAACAACAACAACAACAACAACGACACGTGGGAGAGGATAGTACGGCCAACTGCCTAAGCCAACAAACGAGGCTGTGTTGTTCGACGTATCGTAGGTCGACACCACCGTGATGGCGGCGGCGCGCAACAGAAATTTCCTAGCGCCCGTGTGAGAATCTGCAGCAAGCCCGTCCATGTAAGATGGGGCGGAGGATGCCGACCACCACTTTGGACCAGAAAAATGGACCTGAAACCTAGGGACCGAGCTCAACTTCAATACTACATTGAAGTGGAGACCGTGTTGGCGGAAGAAAAAGTTCGGATGTTGTCCGTCCAGCTCGATGAGCCAACAAGGTGTGTGTGCCAAATCATGATCAAGCCACACTGCATACCGACTACCCGCGTGGTATCTGCCGTAGCTTTTGGCTTTTGCCCGACCACACGACGAATGGCACGCGTCGTGCAGAGACCCTGGCTACTACATTGAAGTACAAAATAAGGCCCTGCACAAAAATCCTGGTAGGATGTTAGTGCGTCGGGGCATCGTAGAACGTGTATGTAGACTCTGTATGCACACACGTAAGGGTTGGAGTTAACGAGTTGACATACAGCCGAGCTGGTAAATAAATGGTAGTCTACCCATCTGTTGTCCCAAGTAATAGAGTGTAGACTAAATATCTCTCCGGAGACCACTTGACCGAGAACAATCTGGGGAAATCAAACATCCATTTTTTTTCGCCTCGAGGTGATCACAGTAGGCGGGAGACAAATCAGCCAAGGAACCACAGGCGCGCAACGAACACATCCTGTGTTACCTACAGCAGTAGCCTACTGTCCATTGCTGCTCGCCACGGGGCCGAGTCAATGAACCGCTCAACACCCAGCTTCAACCGTCGCTTACGTGATATACCACACCCCCTGACCAATTTTCAACGCGCTGCTCTGTTACTCCCCACGGACGAAGAGATGCATACATCAAACGATACGTTTTCGGAAAGCTCCCCATGCGACGGTTCCAACGCTGCTGTTGTCGGCCCTGGCATTCTTTCTGCTGTGGAGTAATCGAGCTTTGAAAATCGGTCGAGGGTGTGGTGGTATCTTACGTCGCCTACAACGGCATCCTACTGCCTGAATCCTGTGAAACGGCCAGTTATTGGTGATGTAGATATACACGGGGGGTAAATAGACCTTACCATCCAACAACACAAATGCGAAAGCAAAGCTCACTCTGGCCTCTGCGATGCCGTCCAAGTCCCCCATGCTCCATGCAAGGCCCTCCCTCTTCGCCTGTTGTCTCCGAAACTAAGTGCGTATCTTGTTTGTGTGTGTGTCCTTCCTCCCCTGTCCCAGCAGGTCGCTTGCGGTGGTTCTCTCTAGTTGCAATTTTCTGGCTTCGAAATCTTTAGGATGTAGCGGCCAGTGACGCGTGTCAGCGTGTAGACATGCGACGATCGAAGTGGAACACAGCTCTGTGTATCTAGGATCCTAGGATCCAAGGATCTTGCGCGTGAAAAGCGCTGCTGCCGGCTGCCGCTGCAACCGCGCGGTTCGCCACGCGGGCTGGAAGAGGCAGCGGAAGTGGGGGGCCCGCGCCTTGGAATGTGTGTGAGCAATTAGGGTATGTGATCTGGCCGTAGAGCAGTGGCCTGGTCGTGGTCTCCGACATGTCATGTCTGATGTGCCCTCGCGCGGAAAAAGAGGTGACGACGTGACGGCACCCAAAGACACAGGAGCAGAGAGGTAGAGAGAAGGGATTCGACTCTGTCCGGTGAAAAATTCACACGCCACGTCAGTTTTAGGGTTGTGCCATAAGGGTCTCTCGCCGAGAGATCGTGTCCTGGAATCGAATCGGCAGCAAAGCGGCAGTTTGGACCCAAACCCCGCATTTTTAGAGCCAGCCTCGGGTACAGTGGACGCGAGGACCGCAGCAGGGGCAGAGAGCCACTGCCAGCAGCAGCAGCGCCATGGGGTGCGTTGCTTCTTCGGAGGAGGAGGGTCCGAAATCACCGCCGGCGACACTGGCGGAGAGGGAAGCCGAGGCGAGGACCAAGAGGAAGGAGGGCAGCCTCGTTCACAACCTGGTTCACGAGAAGTTTGGTCGGTGAGTTGGTGCGTCGTGTCGTGTGTCACAGGCATCATCAACAGCAGGTTTTTTACCCCGCTCAACAGGTGCTACCGACACCGACTGCTGTTTTGTGGTGATTTGTCACAGCCGTTGTTGGATGTACTCACAGCATCAACAGATTATTGCGAGCAAGAATTTCCCGAGCAGATGGAGCGGGGAGTTTGGGGGTTCAATGGTTGCTATGGATTAGATTTGGTGGTACCAACTTTATCACATATTGCAGGTTTGAGGGTATGGGTGTCTACAACGGAATTTGTGTGCGTGGCTTGTGGTTCCTCACTTCCTTTTTCTGTGTATAATCAAGTCCTTTTTCCGGCTCTCACGCCAACCCCGGCTTCCACGCCCATACTCCGGCTATCACGCCAACCCGGCTTCCACGCCTTCAGGACTCCCACGTCCCTAAATATACCTTTACATCAGGGCCACCACGCCACCCGGCTTCCACGCCACAACTATATTATACACGAGCTTCCACGCTCCACCACGTAGAAGGGCTTTCACGCCCGCGGATAGTTTCTACATTTTGACCGTTGGCAGTACCCAGCTGCTGGCACCTTTTGTTTCCCACTACGGGACCCCGCGCCGAGGCACCCACGCACAAAGCTACTCAACACGCTAGCGTTTCGATCAAGAGAGTGGCCGCTGTGTCTACGCGCGCAAGATGCCGGATGGAGACGGACGACAGCCTCCGGGGGGACAAGGTCATGGTGATCCTTCCCCGGGAGAAGGCACCGGCGATGGAGGAACCAACTATTCGTTCACCGCCGATGCAGAAGAACAAGACAATCTGGGAGGGAGAGCGGCGGCGGGGGGAGATCAGCAAGACTCGATGCGTCAGCTGGTCGACCTTCTCAAGCATGCTTTCACGGCAAACTCCCAGGACCAGGGGCATCGTGCCCATTCAGGCACGTCTAGCGCCCAGACAGTAGAGTTGAAACAGCGGGACAAAGTCGAGGTCCCTGTTTGGAGTGATGATTTCCTCAAAAATCGATCGATGGAGGTTGCGTTGCGGATTTTCACGAGTGCGTTTGAAGCGTGGATGGAGAACGAGGGAGTGGTTGACGCAATGAGAGGCCCAGAGATTCCTGTAGCTGCAGCTCAAGTGAATGTGGATTGGATGAAACGTTCGTTTGGTGAGGAGAGAGTAAAGCAGTCTAGGAAGGTATGGATTTTCATGCTGTCGAAGATCACGGCACAATCTATTCAAGGGCAATTGCTCGCAGCGGAGAGTCCGCAAGCCGGGTACAAAATTTTCTTGGACTACTACCGACGCAGTAAAAACGAGGAAAGACAGACGTTTGATGATCAGTGGAATGTGCTGTGTCAGAGGAATGGAGAAAGTTTGATGGACTACTTTGGTAGAGCTAAGGCGCTTTGGATGAGACTGGTGTCATACGGTGATAATCGTGCTGAAGTGTCCATGTGCAAGCACATCGCTCGGGGTTTTTTGCCAGAATTTGAGAAAATTAAAGAGCGTGTCCTTTTTCACCCCATGTTGTCGAGTGCACAAATGCAGGAGGCGTTGAGGACGGCTGAGCACGAGCAGAGGTACGAGCGGAGGTCTGGAGAGAGAGGAGAGGAGACGAGGCACGCCCTCGTCGCTGCCGGCATGGGCCGGGGCGGCGGGCAGAGGAGACCAGCCATTGTCGGCATGGGTCACGGCGGACCGCAGCAGCAGCAGCAGCAGCAGCAGCCACAGGCGTCGATGCAGCCACCGCAGCAGCAGCAGCGGCAGCAGCAGCAGCAGCAGCAGCAGCAGCTGGGACCGTACATCTGCCAGTACCACGGGCCCAACACCTCGCACGCGACCGCTGACTGTCACAAGTTGCGCAGCGAGTTCCTGGCGAATTACAACGAGATCAGCGCGTACTTGAGCGGCAGGAGGGACGCCGAGGCGGCCGCTCATCCACGAGGCGGATCGCAGAACCTGGGGCGGGTTGGTGGTCCATCAGTACAGCAGTCGTACCAATTCCAACACGGTGCGGGCTGGAGTCAGGGCCACCCTCATGCGCCTCAGGGGCCGCCGCGTGGGCCAGGACCCGGAGCTGGGGGGCAGATGCAGGGGCGCAACGATGGGGGACGGGGCTACGGCGGCTACGGGCCTCGCCCCTACGAAAGCCGTGGGCAAGGCGGCGGCCGCGGGGGCAATTTCCCGCCGGCCAACGTACCTGCAGGGCAGCTTGCCAGCGTCCCGCGGCCCTTTTTTCCGGCTCACCTGGCCATCGGGGGCGGAGATTCGTTCGGTGGCGAAAGCAGCTCGGGATGGCAGCAAACGTCGGCGCCGGCACCCACGCCAAGCTGGGCCCCATCACCTTCCGAGGCGGGATACGGGTATGGGCTCGCGGCTCACGGGGGGAACCACAGCGGCGGTTCCTACGGCAACGCCGGCGGGGGATTTGGCTTCGGCTATTTTTCCGAAGACGGCGGGCCGCACCAGCAGCAGGAGGCCAACGTAACATACTGCCCTTCTGCTGCAGGTCCTGACGCGTATCAGCCGAGAGTCTACAACGAGGCCTTCTACGTCTCGGAGCAGCCGGCGCCCTTCCCGCAGCAGCAGGCGAGTTTTGAGCAGCAGCAGGAGCAGCAGTACCACGGCGTGCCTCAGGCGGCCTCTTCCTCCTCCTCTCCCTCTCCAGATCCAGGCGACGTTCTACCTCCTGCTGGCGACGCCCCTCTTCGTCTCTTCATGGCACGAAGTGTGTGCCCTCGAGGCAAGTTTGATTCTTTTCTTGAGTCTGCGTTTGGTTTTAAGGCGTCTGACGTTTTCGTACCTGCTGTACCCGGTGTTGACCCTGAAATGCTTGCGAGTCACGATAGGAATCACTGTTTTTCTGAGCAAGATTTGCACAGGGTTGCTTCTCCGAGTCTGTCTGCGATGTTCGAGAATTATGAGAAGGTGCCGGTGCCGGTGCTGGTGCCGGTGCCGGTGCTGGTGCCGGTGCCG